AGACGCCTCTTAAAAATAGCCCCACAGCGTTTCAAATCAAGAAGTGCTCAATTACTTCCCCCACTGCCTCTTTATCTGTATTATACATTTTTATATTAAAAAAAGTATTATATGAGCAATTTTTTGTGTCTGAAGAGTGACAGATCTTCATGCTCAGGGTGTGGATTTTTTGGAGATAATTAACAGGGATAGGGTGGATGTGGTGGTCACGCTTTGGTAATGGAAAACAGCTGCAGGTAAATGCAGAAATAAGCATTTATAAATGGAGGCACTTCTGGCATCACTGTTCAACATGAACCAGGTTCTTGGTGTTTCAAAACGGGAGAATAAGTGAGAAATGCAACAGTTTGGGGGTTTTGTGTGGTTTGGTTTTTTACTTTAAAATTGTAGGTGAGACTCTGAGATCAGACGCTGCCCAGCGCTCTCTGTGTCTAATGTAATTAGCATTGGTCTAATGTCAAGACTGCACGCTTTCAACTGAAGGTGGTTTTGGATAAATTACCTGCTTGTTAAAACACTTTGTTCAATGCGGAACGGATCTGATTTTCTTCAAAACCTGTTGCTGGTAGAGGTGTAGCAAGATTGAGGATAGTACAGCTCCCAGGAGCGAAGCAGTTGTGTAAAGAACAGCCCATTTCTGTCAGAACCCAAATTAAATTACAGGAGAATGACATCACATGAGCATGACAGGCAGACAACAGATGTGTATTGGGTACAGTCAGCCCTGTTCCTCCATGGCTGATGTAATCCTAGTGTGAAAATAAAAAAAGCTGTCAATAATCTACTTTGCAGCAGCACTGAGTGAACTGGGAATGTGTTTTATTAATCCAGAGAAGTTCTCACTACTGTAGAACACCCCAGTTTTACCCTCTGTGCGTGACTTGGGATACCCAACGTGCGTGGTTTGGGATTCCACGTAAGCCATGACTGTGAGTTTTGCTGACTGCGCTTTGTACATCACCTTTGTGGCATCTTGCATAAAAGCAGCACGAGGCTTTTTATTTTTAAGCTTCTAATATTTGAATTCGAGCTTCCAAAACGGAAATTTACCCTCTTGTACGTGGATTGTAGCCATCAGGCAGGCTCCGCAAAGAACAACAAAAACCCACCACGAGAAGCAAATACTTAATGCAGATTTATTTCTTGGGTCGCGTGTGATTGCAGAATATCACTAGAACACAGTGTAGTTATTAGAAACTACCATTCGGGATGTGGTGGATTTAGATTTGTTGGGTGTGTGTCTGTTTGGGGGTTTTTTGACTGAAAATTAGTGACCCACATTCTCAACTCATGTCCTGTTCCTTATAGGAGCCAGAAGGCGTTTGATGGGAACCGCAGTTCAGGCGGGCAGCGCTCTGCAGCGTCTTGCGCTCCCCAGTTCTCTGAAGTCGCAGCGAGCACTAACATTGTATTGGGTTGGTCAGACACCACCTCGCCTACTCTTTACGGGAATAACGCATTGCTTTCTCTGTGTATATATATATTTTTTTCCCCCCTTGCAAGCTGTTTACTGGCATCCTGCTGCTCCGTGCACCGTTGCTGCTGCGCTGTTTACAGGAACTGGGTCTCAACTCCCAGCTTCCTCACAAGGTTCTGTGTCAAAGCCGCTCCTGCCTTTATTTCATCTTCACCGCGGCTCTAAAGACTTTCAGTGGCCAAGATCTTGAGCAACTAGTCCAGTATTCCATAAGGAATTGTTTGAGAGTTCCGTGTTTCCTTTGAAATGCCTAATTGTCCCTTAGTGTAAACTTACTCTCTGTTCCTCTTGTGCTGGCAATGACTCTTTTGTAACTTGGTTAGGGTAACGCCGTACGTAGCTGAAGGTTGATCATCCCTTGTCGTGCCGTTCAGCTTCAGGGCAGCTAAACTTCACCGTGCGCTTCCTTCACAGATGAAGCTTTCTAGTCCCACTGTTCTTGTAGTTGTCCTCTGGCTTTGTCTACTCTCCTGTGGTTTTTGACGTAGAGTGTCTAAATATAATCTTGTATCCAACAAGATTTTTGTCTTTGAGCTTGCTTCTTGGATTTAAGAGGATAATGTTAAATTCTCAACCCGTTTTCTGAAGAACTCGCAGCTACTTTTGAGCTTTCTGGAAACTTCACGTCATAAATGAACTGCTCCCTCCCACTTCAGTCCCGTATTGCATGTCCCTTCAGCCAAGCGCAGGACATCACCCGGAACTACGGCGTGACAGTTTTGAAGCCACGGGCTATCGCTTCATCTCTACCCTAGTTCCTAATTTGTAATGGCACGAATAATATTCTTGCTCAGCCTCCGTTTTCTGCTTCCTCACAAACTCTGTCACGGAAGGATTCAGAATTCACTGAAAATGAGGATGTAAGTCTTGCCAAACTGCAAGTGTTATACTTGCAAATAATCCTCGAGGTTGAAGGGAGCCCGATGGAGTCCTTTCCCTTCTCCAAAACTGTTTAAGGAGCTGATGTGTGTTGAATTGTCTTTTGCAGCACATCCATGTTTAGTTCATTTCTTAAAAGAAAAACCCGGCCCCCTGCAGGCTTTGTTTTCAGCTTGGTAGCCGGGTACTCGTTGCTGCTTCTCTTGAAGTTCAACTTTTGTAAGGTCTGCTCAGTTTGAGAGAGAATGTGAGGCACTGAAATAACTAGAGACAACCTGTGCCATACAGAAAGATCTTTCAGAATACAAATCTGTTGTTTAAATTGTATTCCACTTCTGAAAGGTTAACGTTGTGTATGTTTGTGTGTGTGTATATATATATATCTTGAAAATAGCAATTCTCAGTTAACCAAGACACAGAAGATACCTGCAGCCTAGATAAAATACATTTCATACAAATACATTCATGGTTTTTTAAAAAAAAATAAATCATACAACCTGCTGACAGACTCAGGTGCAAGGAACTCCCTTACAGGTATTTAAGGTTTGTGATGCCAACAGGCTGACTGAAAGTTATTTAATATTGACCAATTTTAAACATGAAAAAATCAGTAAATTGGCTCCATGACCGAGTCCCTTAAAGCTGCTCCTGATACAGGCAGTATTTCCTGTTGTCATAAACCAGCTGTATGCCTCTTCAAAAAAATAAATCTTTTTTTTTTTTCTTTTTAGAAAAGCTATTTACTCGTTCCGTTTAGTGACTGTTGAACTTCCACGCACAACCTCATCCATTCAGCTTTCTAGACTAGATTTTGTTTTGCCTTTTCACTCGGGGTTCTCGGCAGAGGAGCTGGCAGCATTCCGGACTGGCAAAGTCAGCCATGGGTGGCTCTGAAGCTGGTCCCAAGGAGAAGGGATGGGTTAGTAAATGAGCGTAAAGCCATGATTTATTTTTGCCAAAGTCTGTTTGAATTGGGAAAAAAAGAAAACTACACGTACATGCGATAAAGGAAAATCTTGCGCCGAAGTTGCGTGTTCGAGAGAAGCATCATACAAAATCTTTTTTACTTTCTGTACAGTGACAATACCAAATTTTTTTTTCTTTTTAACCATCATATACACAACACAAATATTATGAATAGAAATCTATAAATACTTGAAAATGAATTTGTAATATATAGCAGTCGAGGGCCACATCTGTACAAAATGAAAGCAACATATATAAAATGAGTAAGAAAGTGCAAAGTAGTAGAACAGTATCAAGAACCTCCACTTTTTACAGCATTTATGCTTCAAGTGTGAAGAGCTGGCAGGGATGCAGGAGCTCAGTTACAAGTCAAAAGAAGACACAGTACAGGATTCTGGACACAAAATGATGAGCCATTATTAAATTGTCTCTTCCCACTTCTTTGTATCTCTGACTTCCAGTTAATAAGAGAACATTTTTTTATAATGCGTTTCTGCCCAGAGCGATTTGTCCCTTTTAAAAACAGTCCCATAAAACAAAGTTTCCTTGGTCACAGCCCACTCCTCCTGTCAGTGAGGAATGTAGGTTTCAGTTTGCCTCGTTACGCTTACCAGACTTAAAAGGTGAACAGAAATACCTTTCCATCAAGTGAACACATTTAGACCCTGATCCCCTAAGTTACACAGGGGTAACCTGCACCACTACTCACGTGTTACGCGAAGGTGTTAGAGGATCAGTGCCTTAAAAACAAAGCCACCAACCACCCTTCCAAAAAGGAAAACCCCTTTTGAGTTTCAGATCTGCTTAGGGATAACTGCCCATTGATTTTTACCGCTGTTTGGCAGTCAGGACGCAAGTTTTGCGTTCAGCCTTCAGCTGCCCATCTCTCGCCTGCGCCTCCTGTAGCAGCGCGAGTCTTTGTTTCCTTTCAGGCTGTGGGTCCTAGTGGAAAGCTCTGCTCTGATTAAAATACAGTGGCAAGTAAAAACGTATTTGGTGAGATGGAAGCTGAAACAGTTAAATCAATGCTCTTGAATGAAATTTCAAATAACGTGTTTAGAAAGCTTTTCAGTTCACCTTTATTTCAGTAAGTGTACTTCTATATTTGATTTTAGGCACTGTAAATAATCAAGTTATTAACTCATGTGCAGAAGAATCCATCTGTTCCCAAGCAGTGTGTTATTAGTGATCTCTAGCACGTTCTTGACCAATGATGTCATCTTGGTTTTGTTTTTACATGGAGAAGGGTAGACTTTAAATACTCGTTTGTCCTCTCTCGCAAAGTATCTGACTACGACAGAAGAATCATCACAGTTACGTTAATTTTTCTCTTCAAAGTACAGGCCAGACTTCAGAATGGATTAAAGAGAGGCTGCCAGCAGTCTGAACGTGCTAGAGAAACAGTAACAATGAATTTACCTGGTCATACAGCTTCGTGCAGTGATGTCTGTCTCAAACCTGGAGATGATCACATGAAACTCTACAAAGACCATCAGTGTCTAATCTGCTAATAAGAGTTTGGAGTCTTAAGGTACTCTCTGTACTCGATAGAGACTATGGAAACATTCATCCAACTGGTGTATTTTCTGAATGTGTGATATCTACAGTATACGCAGACATCCAAAGTTGAGGCATGAGAAGGAACCATCTGCACAGCTCTCCGGTCAGCGTAACTCGATTATTTGCCTCCGTACATTCTTTCGATGTCGTTGATGTAATGGTTTTTCAGTTCTTTCCTTTTCAGCTTGAAAGCATCTGTTACTAACCCAGTCTCTGGGGTCCACGGCTCAGGGCTTAACCGGACTTTGATGGGTATTTCAAACCTTTCTAATTTCACTGCAGGGACAAGAAGAAACAAAAGCATCGCTAAGATTTATTTCTTTATTAGGTAGCATGAATCAGTATTTCGTTGGGCCACGTAACCAAAGGAGAGCATCCTGTAGCTTGTACAACGCAGCGTCCTACTTCATTGATTCGGCTTTTGATTGTTCAGTGGCAAGGAAGAGCAATTACAACGATAAGGACTGTGGCTGCTCCAAGCTGTAGGGGACAAAATTGTGTGGTGGGGGGCAAAGCTTTGAAATCTCTTGCGTAGCTCGTTTTCTTAGCAGCAAAGGTCATGTAACTTTTCCTTCCAAACTGAAAGCTCTTTTGGACCTTATTTTACCTGTACTAGACAAGCAACCTCTCTAGAATCAAGTTGAAAAAGTCTCCCCAGGTTTTTTTTTTTAAATGGAAAAAGATGAAGTAGGGTTAATCTGACCAAAACACACATCAATTCCTAGGACAACAGGCAACGATTTGCTTTGGCCTTTTCTCCTGATCATATGCTAAGTTTTGACAGAAACAGAGGCAATGGGAAGAAGGAAGAGTAGTGAGTGAGGATAACAAAGTTTTGGCTGGATAAGTACCATGAGATTGGCTAACTCGACAGGCCACTTGACTTACTTTTGTTTGCCACTTCTTTGATCTCTCGCAGTATTTCAGCTTCCATCGTGGGATTGTTACAAATATCTACCCAGGTTCCACTGATGCCCTTCTGCTCCGCCAACGCCGTCAGCTTCTTCTGATTAGGAACCACGAAACTGATCACATAAGACTGGTCGCTGCCACGGGATGGCAAAAAAAAAACAAAAGGGAAAGAAAAAAGATCCAAACAGTTGAGACTTTCATTCTGGGGCATAAAATCCTTACTTGGTGTTAGGTTCACAGACCCACAGTGCTTTTTGAACTGTGGTTACTCCCCTGCACAGAATCTTCTTGTACATTAAGTCTTCGCAAGGGATGACTTATCAAAGGTATTTGCAAGTTGTTTTACGATGCGAGGTTTGATCAGCGTCATGCTCTGCTCGTTTCACAAACGCACGACTCTCGGGCTTCCCAGCTACCTCTGGTGTTGAACGAGTTCTCTTTGGTTTCCCTTCGCCTGGTTTTAAGTTGAGGGGAGGGAGAGGAGAGCCTGGGACCAGTTCAAAAACTCCCTGGAGAGCTCTGGATCAGGCACAAAGGATTTAACTTTCTCTGGTGTTCTGACAGAAAGCCAGAACTTGGATGTATTGGGACGGGAGAAATGCCAACCGGAAAACTAAAGGTAATTTCTTGAGGTTTTAGGGACTCTGGGCACCTGTGCTGTTAGTTCAGAGATGCTGTTTATAATTTGCACTCCAGGGGGGTGTTGTTTAGTGAAAATCATGGAAAGCTATCATCAGAGAAGTGGGTCAGAGCCTGTATTTCATATCTACCCTAAATGAAGTTCCTAAATTAACACCACTCTTACCTTTTGGCATAAGCACAGATGTTGTCAATCAAAGGACAGTTCTTCAGTGCTGCCTCTACTTTGCCCAGAGACACGTATTCTCCTGCTTGTAGCTTGACCAAGTCTTTCTTACGATCTAAGAGTTGGGGGGAGGAAGGCAAAATAAGAAGCTTGTTTCATTTTAAGCTTTTGCATTTCCACAGACTCGTTCACAAAGCCACTCCAGATGTATTTTGCACGACGCAACGCAAGATTCTGAATAAATGTGAATTAAAGCATCTTATAAAATTTAAGTAGCTGGTAGCACATATGCATTCTGCCAACTTTTATAAAGACTTCTGTAAAAAAGTTTATATTTCTTGTCACACAAGTTGCATGAAAGTGATGGAGGCTCTGTAATTTAAGGTTTTGTAATTAACACCAAATATTAATCTCGCGTTTATTCTTTGAAGTCCATGTGCTAAATTTAGGTAGTGATGCCGTTTCCTGTGACATTACCACTTACAAAATTTCCCTGCACCTGTGGTGACTTTTGGGAATGTGTTTTACCCTGTGATTCTGCAAGCAGAAAACCTTAGCCCTGGCAAAGCCAACAGTATTAATAATGTGCTTAGAATTCTGTTTAGTCAAGATCCTGTAATATATTAAGATATCAAAAATTGAGGCCAACCTATGATCTGCAGACACCCATCTGGATGAAATTCCCCGATATCTCCTGTGCAGAACCATCTCTGACCGTTCTCATCAATGGAGAACTCTTCTGATGTCTTCTCTTCATTTTTAAAATATCCCATGGAGACATTAGGTCCACCAATTATAATTTCTCCTCTAGGATTAGGCTTGTCTTTGTTAGTATAGCCCCCTGAAAACAAGAAAAATCCCCATACAATTATTTTGAACTTCTATATTCTGCTGCCAAGGAAACATTTTGAAGCTTGAGCTAAAAGTTAACACACACAGATTGATGACTATTATAAAAGATAAAGAACAACTACTTCATAGGCCACACCTTGCTAAGCAGGTAGGCAAAGAAATGAGCTGAACTGAGGTTAAAGTAGTTAGTCTGAAATCAGAATATTTAACACTCTCACCTTCTTGCCAGTCTCTCAATTTTATTTCACAACAAATAAGAGGGGCTCCAACTCTGCCAGTGCTGTAATCAGCAACTTGGGGAGAGAACAAGGAAGAATACGTAAGATTTTTGTCATTTGAAATAGAAACCAAAACGGTAAATAAGATGGTAGATTTTTCTCAAGTTACTTTATTGCAGTGAAGAACTACAGCTATCTTGACTTGACAAAAAATGCCACCAAACCCTCTTGTGCATCTTAAATTTCCACAAGCGTTTTAACTACCTTCTGTAATTGTTCCAGCTCCACATGTTTCCGTTAGTCCATAGCCTTGGCCAACAGGACAGCAGAAACAAATGTTCATGAATCTTTGGGTCTGAGGTGAGAGCGGGGCGCCTCCAGAAAGCATCATGCGGACGTTCCCTCCCAGCAGTGCCTTGACTTTTTTAAACAACAGTCTTGAAAGAAGAAAAAGAAGCATTGGAAGTCCTTCGTTTGGTTCACTCTTACAAAAAAGAGACACAAACCTGCACACTTGGAACACCTCAACTTACTCATTCAGCTATTTTAGTGGGCAGCAGGGATAACCACAAATATTACCTCTGAACACTTAAAGATGGCAGAATTCCTGTAGCTCTACTAAAACATTCTGATTCTATTACTTAAATAAAAATCAGTCCAATGAAAACTAGCTAGTCATTTGGTCTGAACATTAGTCATTTCCCCTATTAAATATCTTACCCTTTTCCAGTGAGAATTTGGATTATTTCAGTTAGTCATTAGGTGACGCTTCCGCTCTGGATGAGAATTGCTTGATGCCAGATAGCTTAGATGATTAATCTTTTAATAATGTAAAAAACCACGAAGAAGAAAAGTACACTTGGACCCTGAATTATACTTACACGTTACACAGAGGTGCATCATATCCCCTCTTGATTTGTTCCAACTTGTAGTCGTAACCTATCTTGAACAGAGTTCTCTGAATATAGTTCATCTCTTGAACTTTACTCATGACATTTTTATAAATTCTGTCCATTATTTCCTACAAAGTGTTTAAAAAAAATAAATTACCATATAGACTAGACTAGCCTGTGTAAATTAAATTCCATGTTAAAAATAAAATTCAAAACCCCTACTAGTTTTCCTTTAAAACAGATAATACACTAAGAGTAAAAATGTCTTTAGGCGATGCTTGACCGTAGTGTTTTTAATGTGTGATCAGTCAGTCAATCTATAGACCAACACAGTTTGGAGCTATTTAAAATGGGTGGAATGAAGTAATGAAAATAGTGACTTACTCTTCCCTTTCCTCCTCTTGCTTTTCTCTCCTCACACCAGCATCACTGCGGTCATGCTGCAGTAATTCATCGTACCCCTCACGTTTCTGCAAATGCCTTTCCAAAGCTTTGATTTGTTTTTTTGGGTTTGGTTTTGTTTTTTCTTTAAAATGGGAGTAATCGATTTAAAAACTCTTGGCTATTCCCAAAAGATCCCGTAGAAAAACTAAATCCCAACTATTGGCTCGCTCGTCTTAAATGAGATTAAATCCTCGTACTCCCCCAGCACCACCACGTGGCAAAAGCTGGTCCTACCAGTCTTACGAGCCACAGATGTGACACGATCATAAAAGGATGATGCGTGATTCCAGGACAACCGAGGAAGGGTTTCTTTGCATTAGAAAGATACAAACATTTGTGTATTTTTCATCTAAAACCCAGTCAGAGGTTTGAACCAGAAAGGCTCTTGGCTTTAGCGCACTTGCATCCTTGTGCTCATCTGTGGCATCAGTTCAAGCACTGACCACCAGAATGTATATATTCTGCTTTTTTCCTATTGGTGGCTTTTACTTGCACATGAAGAGGAAAAAACGTTAGTAAATAGATTTTTTTTCTAGTATGAACAAGAGAGAAGGCCTTTTTTTTTTGAATATTTTTTTTTTCTGAACATATCTGCTTCTGCATACTTACAGGCACAGCTGCCATCAGTGTAGGCTTAAGCACAGTACAGTCTCCTTTGCTTCCTTTCTTAATTTTACTTGACTGTAATAAGGAAAAAAGAAAAAAGGCAATTTATGAAGCCAAAACCCAAGCAGCTCTTTAGGAAAGGGCTATAAAAAAGAGGGAGACACATTGGCATAGGATTTGTTTAAATCTCTTCCCTTGTCTCTCCTCAAAACGTTTCCTCTGTAGTTTTTTTCCCCACTGTGATGGAAAAAGTAATGATTAAAAATGTCAACCCAAATACTAGATATTTTACAAGCTCAGCCTGGTTAAGTCTGCTTTGTATATCTTTCTGTTAATTCCTCCCTCTACTACTTGCTTTCTTCTCCATCTTCCTCCAGGAGTTTTTGTCTGATGCGATCTCTATAGCAGCAAAACGTACAGAAACCACCTTTTCCAGCTTAATTTGCTCTTATTTATCTTAATTGTTAAATGGAAAAAGGCAAAGGGCTAAACAGAAGGTTTACAATAGCTGGATAATGAACTGAGGTTAAAAGCTTGCGTTTGCTTCCCCTCTCGCTGCCCCTCACCTGATCCGACAGCGTGAGCGGGGAGGAGTAGCCGATCCTGCAGCCGTAAGTGATGCAAGAAACTTCTGCCGTCAGTTCCAACACGTGGGCCAGAGGCAAATAACCGATGTACGTGTCCTTGGGTCTAGGACAGGAAGATGAGCTAAGTAATAATGATGTACAAAGTGGAGTGGAGACACCGTTTAACAGTTTTATTGTGTGCTTAGTTGTTTTTGAAAGACTTGGAGACGAGCGAGGCTTGTTCTGTGTGCAGGAAAGGTGTGATTTCAAACCACTTATTAAAAAATCAAATGAGGAAAAATCCTACCTTACTGCCATCAGTATGAATGACAGGATTTGCCTTGTTTTCTAGGAAATGCAAAAATTCCTTACTGCCCCACTATTTTCTCTCCTTGTGAAAGACTTTGTCCCAGGTACCAAACTTAAACTATAGTTTAAAATAATCACCAAGGATTTACAAAGCCTCAACAGTCGCCATAGCATCTCCTTCTAAAATACAACGGTGGAGAGCGAGCTGGTCAGTGCAGAGGCCTTTTTCAGTAAATAATTTGTCAACGAGGAACTTAGGGCTGTCACTTAACAAAGGTTTCAGCATCAAGTCAGGCCTGGAAGGAGTTTAGCAACATCGCTTCGTTCAGCTCTTCAGCCGTGACTGCTGTGACAAACACGTCCACGTTCATGAATGATTTCTTCAAAATATTAATGTGAGGGAGCCTGCGGTTTAGTGGGCTCACAGCAAAATGAAGAAATTTGGTAACACCTGCTGCCAGCACCAGACTTTCTAAGAACTGGTGTGGTTTTGGAGGTTCTTTTCTCCCTCCATACAGACGACAACAAAGCGTTCCTTACCCCAGTCCAGGTATTCTCTCGCACTGTCCCGTCATTCCAGCTATTAAGTTTTTATGCACCATCATGACTCCTTTTGGTCTCCCAGTAGAGCCACTGGTGTACATTACTAAAGCCAAGTCTGTAGGAGCGGGTCTGCTCGGCAGAATGCTTGCTACGAGAAAAAAAAAGAGTAAATGTTACTGATTCTTACCTACTTCAGAAATTCTCTCTCTAATTCATTGATGTGAAAAAAATTTCCTAGGAAAAGCCTTCTGAAAACCAAGTAAACCCCTCAAGGGCAGTGCAGGGGAGAAATACGGTATTGGAGAGGAACAACAGGTTGAGGAAAACAAAAACCAAACTCAACTCAACACCCCAAAAAGCCGCAGGTCAGCTTTTCTGTCAGTCGCTCTTCCAAAGCCAAGGTCGTAGACCTACGACTACTTTTTTTTCTTTAAATGAACCCTCCTCAGGCAAGCTGCTGGTTTGTGGAAAAGCAGTGAGCTTACAACACTTGAGTTTTGATTCTTTTGTTTTAACCCCTTGGCATTTATTCTTAGGTTGAAAATTATCGGCTTCTGCAGCATTCAGAGCAGCACAGACTGCTAATTTAAGGAAAAGAGATGATCACAGTTGGTTTTTCCTTCCCTAAAGCAGATGTTTACAGTCACTGCTGGCTGCCCAGTGTAGCAAGGGATGTAATGGTTATTTCTGTAGCTACAGATTGTTTTCTTAAAAAAATAAATTCCAAGCCAATAAGCAAAAAAACCCCAAACCCCTCAAGTGCTTCCTCCTCTTTTCTTAGGGAAAATAATGAAAATAAAGATGAATAAAGATGAAAGTAGCAGAAAACTGAACACTGCACTGTATTCCATTTCACTTCCTAAAAGAAAAGTGGAGTCTTCAAATTATTTTTAACTTCTAAACCACAACCAGAATAAAGTTTCACCCTGAAACACCTGACAGTCGAACACAGGTGCAGGACAAGAAACAGAGATCAAACAAATTTTCCATTTATGTAAAGGAAAGCCAAAGGATGAACTGGCAATCTGCCACTGCCTTTGTCAGAGACCTGCATGGGTGAGTTTTTGGTTGTTGTTTTGTTTTGTTTTGTTTTTCCTGCTATGTATCTCTTTTAAAATAGGTCTGATCTCACAGTTAACATTGCTCGGCTAGCTCGCGGTGAAGAGGTTCACTTACCGTTTTCTGGTTTGGCTCCTAACTCTTCTACTGTCTGCATACTATGGATCTCCACATTTTCAGGGTATTCTGATTTATTGACGGTCTTCTTGTCCACATAAATGATGTGTTTAAGGCAGGAGACTTGTGGCAACGCAGTCTGTAAGAGAGAAACGCACTTTTTAGCACCAATCAGGCTGTAGGAAGATGAGGAGGTTGCTTGTAAGCAGGTGAAGCTGGTACCAAATTACCTTAAGCTTGGTCTCAAGAAGCTCTATGCTAGTGACCAGATACGCTGCTCCGCACTCATTGAGACCATAGGTTACTGCCTCTTCCCCCAGGGTGGCATACAACGTGACAACTGGCGCAGGATGGAGAGGGAGAACAGGAAAGAAACGTTAAAGCAATACTAAAGGCAAAAGCTCTGTACTTCAGCTCACTGGAAAGCATCGCGGGAGGAGCGCGGGGTGAGTGGGAGCATAAAAGTAGCTCAGTGGGGAATTCTCTAATTTGGATACGAACCAGCTTTTTAATTTCTTTTTCTACTTTAGGATTTTACGCCACTAGAGACCTCAGGAATGAGGAGAACAGCTGTACAGGAAGCATTTCTTTACCAAAAGGGTGGTCAAGCATTGGAACAGATTTCCTAGAGGGGTGGTCGATCTCCCAGGCCCAGCAGTGTTTAAGAGGCATTTGGACAATGCTCTCAATAACCTGCTTTAACTTTGGTCAGTCCTGAAGTGGTCAGGCAGTTGGACTTAGATGCTCAGTGCCCATCCCCTTCTACTGAAATAGTCTGTTCTATTCTATAGAAGAGAAAGCATCAAAACAGACATCCTGAACTGGTTCTTACTCCGTGACTGCTCAGTGCCTAAAAGCCTAAGTCCACGCCTAAAGCCCTGCACTTCTTCCAGCAGCGTCAGCTACTTTCCTTGCTCCCATGAAATTTATTGATGGGGGCAAGGCAGAGAATCAGATGAGGGAATCAGGCTGCTTTTCATGCTGCTGGATTATTTTTAACTCTGAGTGGCTCCAGTGGTGCCATTAAGTGCCTCACAGGCACCAAGGAGTTCACCTCTTCCCGTCATCTCTTGGAAAAAAACCCCACCTTCCTTTAGTATTATCTGCTCTCTTAAACTTCAACCTCTGAAGACCATTAAAGAAATTTAATATTCCTGTGAAATAGGGTTTGGGGAAGGGACAAAAAGAGAGTCATGTTATATAGCTAATTCTTTCTGCCTCAGAGCCCAAGGATCCAGACCAAATTAACCGTCCTCTCCTACTTCAATAGCAACGTCCGCTTTTTCGTTATTGCCCTTTAAGAATCTCTGTTCCTACTCCTGCGTGACCTCTCCTCGTGCAGTCAGCTACTATGAATACTGGAAGAAGAAGCAGCAGCAGCCTAGTGCAAGCAAAAAACCTAAGGCAGCAACAAAAAGAAGCTGTAGGTCACGGTGTGTTGTATGCAGCCTGGGCCTGTGAGCGCACAGTAGCCTTTGCCACTTCCTCTATGTGCATTCAGTCAAAGTAGAGAATTTTGACAGCTTTCAAATTAAAAAAAAAACTGCCCCAAACCAGACAAAACCCATATACATAACTGTAATGAACTTGAGCAGTTTAAAACGTCACCGAAACCTCTCAGCCTGGCATGTGCTTTTGCGTACTCTACTGGTCTTATCTCGTCTTTTAACCATTTCGTGTTTTGGATGAATAAGTCAGGTTACAGAGAGAAAATACTATAAAAACCATTCCACGTTTTGGGGGGAAACACAACTACCGACACCTTCAGAGTATATATAAAAAGCCCCACACAGTAACTATACTGTTCTGTCATTCTAACATCTGGAACATTAATAAAACCAGTAAAAACAGTCTCATAAATATGAGCAAGTTAACTTTAGGGATCTTCATGATGTATAGAATAGAGTGGAGACTTCTAAGAATCAGACCACAGGCAAAGCTTATGAAATTTTTATATCATCAGTGATAGGATTGGTGGGTTTGAAATATTTAACAGCCAAACCAGTGCTGAGAAATGGTTCTAAACTACGTTAGAGGCAAACGAGTTAAGCACTCACGAGGAAAGTTGTACTTGAAGCAGGTTAGAGCTACGATCATCCACTCTGCTCGGGTCTCACAGAATATGACAACAGTACTCTTCGGGGCTAGTCCCAGGGCGGTCAGTCCACTCCCCAAGCGATTCACTTTCTCATTTACTTCTTCATAGGATAACCATTTGTAAGTTCCTAAAATTAACTGGTGAGTAATAAAGAAAGGAAGAAAGAAGAAATCGTGATGGGAAGAAGCTGTTGGTACAGCTCTACAGGCTCACGTGAGTTGGTGCATAACGCCATAAGCACACATGCTGCCGTTCCTTAAAAGAAAAACCCAGTTGCTTTCATTTTTCTTGAAGTGGAATGAATAGTGCAGGCATCCTGTATAAAATGGATGGTTTATCTCGTAAGAAGATGCTTAAGGAAGACTTCTACGGAGATGGCAAGATGCAAAGCAGTGAATTAAGTACAAAAGGTGAAGTTTTACCTTTTTGAACACTTTTCCGTTTGGTTGCATTTCATTTTCTTCGCTCAGTATTTCTCTGGTGCCGAGACAGTCCTTCTTCCCAAACTTTGCTAGAGCGTGGTCGAAGAGCTTGTCCAACGTGTCTGCGCCAGGAATGTTGATGTTTGCCAGGGAGTCGAGGTGCGTGACAGAACGGTAGGGGCTTCCAGGTTTGTCCGAGACGGGTTTAGCTTTTAAACGTTTTGCCATAGCCTTTTTCTTCTTCGCGTTGGTAAGAAAATACCACGGAATAAAAACAAGCATACTGTACACAGATATTAACAAGTACACAGGCAGCAAGAGAATGGCGCATACTTCTAGCCTAAGTTTCATTGCGGGTATTTAAACCAGAAAAATCTCTTATTTGTGTTCTGAGGTAAGAGCAAAGCAGCAGCGCGGTATGTTGGAGGAATAAGCAACAGTAAGTGAAGTTTAAGTAGTTCTGTTTCAGCTGCTAAAATTTTAGTAACCTTTGTGAGCCAGCAGCGGACGCCTGTGGGTGAAGACCAGAGCCAAGCAGAGAGCAAGGAAAAAAAAAGACAAAAAAAAGAATTTAATTAGTAATATTGCAGTCAGTCCATTAGTTTTAGTCCTTCTAAGAGTTCACTTCAAATGCTTCGAGACAAAGGAGACTGAAGTAACTGATTCAAGGGGCACGGATGCAGCACAGTTTAGCAGCCTCTGGAGACCAGAGGAGGAAGCTTTTCCGTACTTGTTTGTTGCATCCACAAATATTTACTTCTCACAGGCTTTTCCCCACTATCTCTGTTTGAGTAGTTCAGGGCTGTTGAGATGAATTCTGTCCTTCACATCATAATATTGTGTTTCAGCTACTTGAGTAATGCTACAATTGCGTAATTATGGGGAAGGTCAACAGTTGTTTTCCCCCTAAATATTTGCACTATAGAGAAAAAATACCGTAGATTACTGCTTTTTCAGAACGCTGTATCAGCTCGCATTCAGATTAAAATGTGTCTTGATACATGTTCTCAAAAGTCTGTGTGGTACAATCAAAAACTATTTAATATTCTAAATCTGCTTTATTAGCTTTGCCCCAGCAATGGGATTTTTAATCTATTGCTTTTCGAGTGTCAGCCTCTTTGAAAGGGATTACACCAGTTTGTTCCTCCCCTCAGAAAAACTTCTTTGAACACCAGGTATGGAAGGTGGAATCCAATCAGCCAAATTTAATATCGACATTTTTGCCTGCCCATCAGAAATCTTTCCTCATAAAGGAGAACTGGGCCTGAATAAAGACCGAAGGCGAGTGGGAGAAAAGCAAAAGCATTGTGGCAGAAGCACAGCAGTGGCTGGCCCGCTGCTCTCTTTAACTCGTCTGCCCTGGCAGGTAGAAGGAATCAGAGAATCCTAGAATGGCCTAAGCTGGAAGAGACCTCAGAGATCATTTAATCCAACCTCCCTGTCGTGGGCAGGGACGCCTCTCGACTAGATCAGGCAACACATGGGGACCGAACAGGGACCGAACCCACGACCTTGGTGTTATCAGCACCACGCTCAACCCACTGAGCTAACGGGCACCCCAAGGTCCAGCTCCTTGCCTCTGTGGGGCCAGGGTGTGCACGCGGCATGCAAACACAGCGTGAAGGGTGCCCGCAGCAGGAAAAACAAAAGGCAAAGGTGCGCTCACCGATGAGCAGTACCTCAGACACGTACAAGAGTGAGTAACGCTGGCTGGCTTATTGCGAAGCCCAGGCTTTCACGGCCAGAATCTGATAAAATAGGGAAATTCTCAGGGCTCCAGTAGAAGTACGTGGGCACACCTCCAGATGGACTTTTACTAACATACAGGGCAGGAGGGAGGCTATAATTAACATTTCGGGTTACACAAGGCAGCTGCTACTAACAGCGTAACGGAAATCTAGTAATAGGTTGTGGGGGTTTTTAATAAGAATTCTGACGTCTGCAGTTGCATCGTAGCCAATATCAACAGGATTTTAATGTAATGTGAGATGAAGAGAGCTGCAGATACTTGAAGTAACTTGATCGCTATGTTATTTTTTAAAATTAAATCTCTAGAATAAAACGACAACTACTATTGAACGATCATGTAATGTACTTAACGAAGTCATCGGTCTTGTTCAGGAAAAAAGTATTCTGCTTCCCTGAGCTCCTCTTCTCTACCACGAAGCTTTACTGGTTCATATTACAAACCTCATACGGTGCGTTCATGCCAGTTAATTCAGTGCTCCAAAAGCAGTAGCAGAGCTCATATTTAAAATAAAAGCCAGCCAGAGCGCGAAGATGACGGTAAGAAAACGTCAGCGCGTGCCCATGATTAGACGCAATACTATGTGTTAAAAAAAAACAAACAAACCCGGAGAACTGTCCCCACCTGCCACCAAAAAAAGCCTATGACCAGGCACAATGACTTGGATAAAATGCACACAAACAATTTAACGTGAGACACTACTACAGCTTTTATTCAGGCTGAGTAATAGCTTTTTCAGAAGTTGTCCTACTGCTGGAAAACTCAGAGAGGACTAGGCCCGTACTGACTTAGCAAAAAGGTAAAGGTTGCATTTCTTTGAAATTTCGGATTTGTTTAGAATACTTACAGAAGTGTTCCTAGCGTTAGCTACTTTGTACGCATTTGTGGTAATTTAAAATGTTTCTACTTTGACAAAAATCAGTTGTAATTCTTATTAGGTATCAGATAGGAAAATTTAGTCAGTCCCGAAAAGATAAACTTGCCTTTTTCCTTTGAATACATTCATATAAGAACTGACACACACACACACACACACAGATTTACTTACAAGGTGTCTGGCAGCGATGACTGAGTTTTTCTCAGTGTCGATTAGATCTGTATTAAAATAGAAGAAAACAAAATCATAGACATTGGGATTTTTTTTTTTCCCCTGCAGAAAGGAGGAATCTTTAGAATTTCTACCCTACTGCTGCTGAAGAATAGCCCATGAATTTAGACGAAGGCGGCACACACTGCCCATACAGGAGGACAGTTGGGAAAGGCATAAAGTAATAAGAAAGACAAAACTACCCAAAAGGAGTTTGGTTTTTATGGGAACCCTCCCTGTTTAAACATGTGCTGAATAAAGCTATGGAGGTGATATTCTTATTGCAATTATATGCTTGGATGTTTACAAAAATTCTCCAGTCCAATCTTGCTACAGAACACAAGTAACGGAAGTGACTGCTCGCAGAAGCGCCGGCGCTGAGTTTTACAGAGCGCCGCAGGTGGAAGAGATGTTGTTGCAGTAGGATCTGCCTTTGACAGCCGCAATTAAAAGCTTCAGAGACAGATAACGCTATTCTATTCTGTCCTGCAGCCAGGGCCACGGCACAAAGTCTGAAACCAGAGCTCAGGTTCAGAAGAGACGCTCCTCTCTCTCTAATTTTTCATGAATAACTGCAAATCCGAAACAACTGGCAACTAGTCTTTTGGGTTTTTTTTAATGCAGAAAAATAGCTTTTAAATACAAAATCTTATGGGACTAGGTAAGAGCAAAAGCTCGTGCAGCAAACAGGGAGTGGGTTTACGCTTCTGGAAGTGACTGTTCACTGAATTCACAAATGCCCTGATCTTCTCTGCATTTAATTATTCAAAAAGAACAGGATCAATTTATCCAGCATTTGCACACACTACTAGAATTTCAAAGTGCAACTCAAACCCTAAAGAAGTAACTGTAGCTAGAAATTTTATCCTGTGTCGTTTAATTTTCATAAAGCAGCAACTTATTATCTTCACTAGGAAAGGCTTTAATTGCCCCAAGCCCAAAACACTGTAGAGGTTTAATATTGACAATATGTGAATAACGATGTTTATTGTGTCCTTCCTCGTGTTAAAAAACTTGCCAGGGATCCGATTTACTATGCAATAGCACAATGAGAAGAAAATGTGCGTCTCTATCTACTTCAAATGTTAGTTGCACCTTTCAAATGATTGTTAGGAAAGTCTTCTAGCAAGAGAGATGACATCAGGCAGGAAGAGGGCAGTAGTCTAGCTTGTGAAGAAAAAAACCTGGAATCTGCAAAGCACAAAGTTGTTTAGTTTAAAAATGCCACCAGAGGAAGTCCTGGTTCCCCTGCGACCGAGCTCTTCCCAACTTGGAATGGAGACGCCACATGGGCTCTAGCGTCAGTCCTCCGGGTCGATTCCTTTCAGGAAGTTCTGAAGTCTCCCACAACAATCCAGTAAGAATAAGTAACAACTATTTTGGTAATTTCTGTGGCGTTCAGGCAGAGCTAAACGCTTTGGAAACCACCGTAAGCATTGGTCATTTGGACGTGGAATGATGGTTCTGCACGGTGACCTGAGTAAGTGCACTGGTTATTGGCTACAGTCAGTTTTTGGAAGGAAATTTAGTCACAGTCTGGCAGTCCTGAATTTGTTCCAGTACTAGAACTGAAAGAGCCTCGGATTTCAAAAAAAGAAATTACAGAAAGACTGAGAAATATTGCATTGCCAGGAAGATGCAGCGAGCTTAAACACAGTCAACAAGCGAGTGCACGTTACCAGGCTCTGTGCAAGTTTTGGTTTTACACATTTTTATCTCTTACACAGAAGAATGAGAGGACATTTCTACAGATGAGAAGACTGTGATTAAAGAGCAGTAAGAATCTTGTGGCTAATTGCAATTCTTTTGGGGTTAGAAAGTTTTAGATAAGAAAAACTAAAGGAAATGATTCAGTTTTTACATCACGTCAGTATTTTTATGAAAACAAACTGGGCCAGTACAAATGCAAGTTACTCAAGGTAGGAAAGAAAAAGTACAAGGTCTGACATTTTTTTGTCCTTGTCGTTCCTGTCTCACAGGCAGCTTTCTACATATTTTCCTCTTACATAATTTTGTATGTCAAAGGGTGATAAAAACCTCAGAGATAATCTGATCAAACGGCAGCCGGTTTCAGAAGTATTTCTGCGCTCTATCAGTGCAATGGTGGCTCAAAGCCTCAGAGTTTGAGAGCTCTTACTACAGCATAAATACTAGTACCCACATCCCAACAAACAGGGAAAGTCAGATATAGTGGATTCAGATTTAAGTCGAAGGTCCCTATTTAAATATATGCATCCTGTGTGAAATAGCAAGACTACAAGTAGGGTTAGGAAAGCTTGTTTCTCTTACCGCTGCTTAAAAAGAAAAAGTAGTTAATCCAATGTTTTACTCAGCTACTGAACACAGATCCCATTTATTTTTGGTGTCCAGAAAAATATTGTTGTTGCCCTTCATAGTGGCTACTTCTGTTTTACTACCTCAGGACATATATGCACTTAATGTCAATCAAAAAAAAAATAAAATCAGCGTGTGTCAAGTGTCATCCAACTACTGCTGCAACAACTACTGTGATGGAAA